TTTTGAATACCCTTGAACCATTCGCCACCATAGCTTCGTTTTAAGAGCGATTCGAATTGCTCGAGGTTAGTAATTAATCTCATGAGAGCGAGAAGTTCTGTGCTAACTTAGATATAGGAGCGATGAGGTGGTGACGTCACTTCTGAAACGAAGCCATGGCGCCAAAATGTGTCCAGGGTATATATTATTATAGAATGTAGCGTGGTACGCGAAATGCGGTGCCTCAGAAAACTGGACCACACATGCTTTGGAAAATAGACGAGTAATTCACATGCTGCAGGTGTAATTTGTCGCCGTTGCCAGTGATATGGTAGTTATATCGCCTCATTCCTCTAAAGTTATAAACCTGACACCTGTGATATAACTGACATACTTACACATTCCTCCAACGTTATAAAACCTTATTCCTGTGATATAACTGACATATTTATACATTCCCTTAACGTTATAAACCTGACCTCTGTGGTATAAGTGACATATTTACACATTCCTCAAACGTTATAAAACCCGACCCCTGTGATATAACTGACACATTTATACACTCCTTCAACGTTATATACCTAACACCTGTGATATAACTGTCATTCTTACACTATCCTCCAACGTAATAAACCTGACACCCGTGAAAGAATTGACATACTAACACATTCCTCCAACGTTATAAATCATGACACTTGTGATATAACCTACATGCTTATACATTCATCTTACGTTATAAAACCTGACCCCAGTGATATAACTGACACACTTACACATTCTTCCAATGTTATAAAACCTGACCTCTGTGATATAACTGACACACTTACACATTCCTCAAACGTAATAAACATGACACCCGTGAAAGAATTGACATACTAACACATTCCTCCAACGTTATAAATCATGACACTTGTGATATAACCTACATGCTTATACATTCATCTTACGTTATAAAACCTGACCCCAGTGATATAACTGACACACTTACACATTCTTCCAATGTTATAAAACCTGACCTCTGTGATATAACTGACACACTTACACATTCCTCAAACGTAATAAACATGACACCCGTGAAAGAATTGACATACTAACACATTCCTCCAACGTTATAAACCATGACACTTGTGATATAACCTACATGCTTATACATTCATCTTACGTTATAAAACCTGACCCCAGTGATATAACTGACACACTTACACATTCTTCCAATGTTATAAAACCTGACCTCTGTGATATAACTGACACACTTACACATTCCTCAAACGTAATGAACCTGGCACCCGTGAAAGTATTGACATACTTACACATTCCTCTAGCGTTGTAAACCATGACACTTGTGATATAACCTACATGCTTATACATTCATCTTACGGTATACAACCTGACCCCTGTGACATAACTGACACACTTACACATTCTTCCAATGTTATAAAACCTGACCCCTGTGATATAACTGACACACTTGCACATTCCTCAAACGTAATAAACCTGACACCCGTGAAAGAATTGACATACTAACACATTCCTCCAATGTTATAAACCATGACACTTGTGATATAACCTACATGCTTATACATTCATCTTACGTTATAAAACCTGACCCCTGTGATATAACTAAAACACTTACACATTCTTCCAATGTTATAAAACCTGACCTCTGTGATATAACTGACACACTTACACATTCCTCAAACGTAATGAACCTGGCACCCGTGAAAGTATTGACATACTTACACATTCCTCTAGCGTTGTAAACCATGACACTTGTGATATAACCTACATGCTTATACATTCATCTTACGGTATACAACCTGACCCCTGTGACATAACTGACACACTTACACATTCTTCCAATGTTATAAAACCTGACCCCTGTGATATAACTGACACACTTACACATTCCTAAAACGTAATAAACCTGACACCCGTGAAAGAATTGACATACTAACACATTCCTCCAACGTTATAAACCATGACACTTGTGATATAAACTACATGCTTATACATTCATCTTACGTTATAAAACCTGACCCCAGTGATATAACTGACACACTTACACATTCTTCCAATGTTATAAAACCTGACCTCTGTGATATAACTGACACACTTACACATTCCTCAAACGTAATGAACCTGGCACCCGTGAAAGTATTGACATACTTACACATTCCTCTAGCGTTGTAAACCATGACACTTGTGATATAACCTACATGCTTATACATTCATCTTACGTTATAAAACCTGACCCCAGTGATATAACTGACACACTTACACATTCTTCCAATGTTATAAAACCTGACCTCTGTGATATAACTGACACACTTACACATTCCTCAAACGTAATGAACCTGACACCCGTGAAAGTATTGACATACTTACACATTCCTCTAGCGTTGTAAACCATGACACTTGTGATATAACCTACATGCTTATACATTCATCTTACGGTATACAACCTGACCCCTGTGACATAACTGACACACTTACACATTCTTCCAATGTTATAAAACCTGACCCCTGTGATATAACTGACACACTTGCACATTCCTCAAACGTAATAAACCTGGCACCCGTGAAAGAATTGACATACTAACACATTCCTCCAACGTTATAAACCATGACACTTGTGATATAACCTACATGCTTATACATTCATCTTACGTTATAAAACCTGACCCCTGTGATAAAACTGACACACTTACACATTCCTCCAATGTTATAAAACCTGACCTCTGTGATATAACTGACACACTTACACATTCCTCAAACGTAATGAACCTGGCACCCGTGAAAGTATTGACATACTTACACATTCCTCTAGCGTTGTAAACCATGACACTTGTGATATAACCTACATGCTTATACATTCATCTTACGGTATAAAACCTGACCCCTGTGATATAACTGACACACTTACACATTCTTCCAATGTTATAAAACCTGACCCCTGTGATATAACTGACACACTTACACATTCTTCAAACGTAATAAACCTGACACCCGTGAAAGAATTGACATACTAATACATTCCTCCAACGTTATAAACCATGACACTTGTGATATAACCTACATGCTTATACATTCATCTTACGGTATAAAACCTGACCCCTGTGATATAACTGAAACACTTACACATTCTTCCAATGTTATAAAACCTGACCTCTGTGATATAACTGACACACTTACACATTCTTCAAACGTAATGAACCTGGCACCCGTGAAAGTATTGACATACTTACACATTCCCCTAGCGTTGTAAACCATGACACTTGTGATATAACCTACATGCTTATACATTCATCTTACGGTATAAAACCTGACCCCTGCGATATAACTGACACACTTACACATTCTTCCAATGTTATAAAACCTGACCCTTGTGATATAACTGACATACTTACACATTCCTCAAACGTTATAAAACCTGACCCCTGTGATATAACTGACACACTTACACACATTCCTCTAGCGTTGTAAACCATGACACTTGTGATATAACCTACATGCTTATACATTCATCTTACGTTATAAAACCTGACCCCTGTGATATAACTGACACACTTACACATTCTTCCAAAATTATAAAACCTGACCCCTGTGATATAACTGACACACTTACACATTCTTCCAATGTTATAAAACCTAACACCTGTGATATAACTGACACACTTACACATTCCTCAAACGTAATGAACCTGACACCCGTGAAAGTATTGACATACTTACACATTCCTCTAGCGTTGTAAACCATGACACTTGTGATATAACCTACATGCTTATACATTCATCTTACGGTATAAAACCTGACCCCTGTGATATAACTGACACACTTACACATTCCTCTAACGTTTTGAAACCTAACACCTGTGATATAACTGACAAACCTACACATTCCTTTAACGTTTTGAAACCTAACACCTGTGATATAACTGACACACTTACACATTCCTCTAACGTTTCTAAACCTAACACCTGTGATATAACTGACAAACTTACACATTCCTCTAACGTTTTGAAACCTAACACCTGTGATATAACTGACACACTTACACATTCCTCAAACGTTATAAAACCTAACACCTGTGATATAACTGACACACTTACACATTCCTCCAACGTTATAAACCTGACACCTGTGATATAACTGACAAACCTACACATTCCTCTAACGTTTTGAAACCTAACACCTGTGATATAACTGACAAACTTACACATTCCTCTAACGTTTTGAAACCTAACACCTGTGATATAACTGACACACTTACACATTCCTCTAACGTTTTGAAACCTAACACCTGTGATATAACTGACAAACTTACACATTCCTTTAACGTTTTGAAACCTAACACCTGTGATATAACTAACAAACTTACACATTCCTCTAACGTTTTAAAACCTAACACCTGTGATATAACTGACATTCACATTCCTCTTACGTTATAAAACCTGACACCAGTGAAATAATTGCCATGCATACACATTCCTCTAACGGTATAAACCTGACAATTGTGAAATAATTGCCCTTATGGTGAAAGGCGTGAAACCCTTTATCATTTACACGCATAATAAGATGTCCCCTAAGGCTGACATATATAGCCTATGAAATCTTTTATTACCCAAATTGAATACATTTCTCTCCTCTAAAAATAAAACAATTATTTTTCATGATGATGAGTTCATTGTTAAATAGATCTGGCTGGTATTGGCTAGACTTACTTTTAGGCCGGTTTTCTTTTCATAAAAGACATATATTCCACACTCATGGTGCAGGGCTAATGTCCCACATGCATGATGTCATAATAACAAAGCAATAAATGATCTGACACATCATTACAACGTATCGTGCGTAAGTTTACCATCTTGACAGGTTATCGGAACAGGGCAGAGTCAGCTCCATGCGATTGAACTACATGGCTTAATGACCTTGCCTTGAATGAAGCTAGTGGATGCGATATGTCACTCCAAACTGAGGCTACGTGGACCATGAGATCTCCCAGTTGACGTGTGTAGGGATGTGAAGTGCGAATATTGATTTGTGTCCTGTATGGCGAACGGTATGGACACGGAGGCGCACATCGCTTTGCCTTCACGGGTGTAGTATGGGTGGGTCTCCCAGTCAGCTGATTCCACGCTTATGTCGTCGTGGAACCTCCCAACCTCTGTGCTTCTTTGTGTTTTTTTGCGGCAACAGACGACGTTGATTACGCATTTATGTCAACCTCCTGACGTTCATTCACTCGCTATGGAGATGTATGGATTATTTTATGGGACAGTGCAGTTAAGTCTCTGATAGAGAGTTGATTGAAATATAGTGTTGTGAAGTGTTCTGGTTGTGTTGTGGGTACCTCCACATGCAGTTGCCAGGCTTCTTCCAGATCCTGGTGTCGCGCGATGCAAGTCTGGCGGAGGCGACTTCAGCCAAACGTCCCTTATGTCGGAGGTGCAAGGCTGGTAGTGAAGCCGACGATAGCGAGCGTATACAGGAAGCGTCTGAGCGGCTCGGAGATAGATATATTAGAAGCGTTGCCAACGACAGACAAGTATTGACTGTAGTCGAGGCTGAATGAACTGTAAACTCCCTCAGAGACAGACATATCCCACAGGCTTTTATATTCACCACAAATGCATTGTTTTCTTCCGTGGTGTAGAGTCCAGATCGCATTTACCCGTAGCATTGATCAGCACGCGAGGGTAGTCAACTCAGGCCTACTGACGGAGACGGGGATACAGAGAGGAGGCTCGGGATTGAATCGATTGGGGGAGGTGATTTGACTCAGGTGCGAGAAAATTGGAGAGGTCTGTTGCGCTGGCATGAAAACAGTGCATTGATTAGACAGAATGGTGAACCGATGAAATACGTGTGGTCATTCCAAGTCAATGTCCTTGGGATAGGCATCCTTCGTTGAATCGTGTGCGCGGGACTGACGCTTCTCGCGCGGTGATTGGAAGTAGCTCATCCGTCGCACGGCCAGGTAAGCGGACGCACAAAAAGCCCGCGAGAGTGTCGTCTGCTATCAGCTGTAGCAGCCGACGACATGGGCAGAAGCAGACGAGCGTGGGTGCAACACTTGTTACTTGTGTACGTGTGTGTGGTCGTCCTGCTCTCTCAGTGTGAATGTCTCTCGGAGAGAAAGTTGTCCGAGTTTGAGGAAGTTGTGAAGAAGGCCCTCCATTGTAGAAATGTACCCGCTGCGTCGGTAACGCTCGTACAAGATGGGAAAGTGTTGATGAAGAGATCGTTTGGAAAGGCCGATCCGGAGAAGAATATTCATGCCAAGGATGACACAAAATTTTGCATTGGATCATTAACGAAGGCATTTACTTCAACGATTTTGGCCAAGCTTGTAACGGAGAGAAAAAAGTGAGTATTAAAATTCACTGCATGTTAACATCGTGCTACTTTATTATCTATTTCATAACGAAAGTAATAGGTTTCAATATTGAAGTGCAACATGTTTCGTGCAGTCTGTTATTTTCAGAGGCGTAACTTCTTTACGACTGATACGTACTGCTTGCGATAAACATACTCGGTCATGAATAGGCCTAGGTCTATCACTTATAGCGGTCATGCTAGGTTACTTGGTTGATTGTGTGTCATCGTACCTCCACATCGTTTGATGTTCATAATATCAACCAGTGGTTTGTCTGGCCAAGACTAGATTTTTATAAAAGGCATCCGTAATATACTGGTATATTACTTACTGCGGCGTAAAACAACATGAAGTAAAACACGTGCATGTGTCATTCCAAGTCATAGATGAAGTAGTACACACGTGCATGTGTCATTCCAAGACATAGATGAAGTTAAACACGTGCATGTGTCATTCCAATATCATAGATGAAGTAAAACACGTGCATGTGTCATTCCAATATCACAGATGAAGTTAAACACGTGCATGTGTCATTCCAATATCACAGATGAAGTAAAACACGTGCATGTGTCATTCCAAGTCATAGATGAAGTAAAACACGTGCATGTGTCATTCCAAGTCATAGATGAAGTAAAACACGTGCATGTGTCATTCCAAGTCATAGATGAAGTAAAACACGTGCATGTGTCATTCCAAGTCAGAGATGAAGTAAAACACGTGCATGTGTCATTCCAAGTCATAGATGAAGTAAAACACGTGCATGTGTCATTCCAAGTCATAGATGAAGTAAAACACGTGCATGTGTCATTCCAAGTCATAGATGAAGTAAAACACGTGCATGTGTCATTCCAAATCATAGATAAAGTAAAACACGTGCATGTGTCATTTCAAGACATAGATGAAGTAAAATACGTGCATGTGTCATTCCAAGTCCTAGATGAAGTAAAACGCGTACATGTGTCATTCCAAGTCATAGATGAAGTAGTACACACGTTAATGTGTCATTGCAATACACACGTGCACATGTCATTCAACTATAGCAAATAGCAAAGATGAAGTAAAACACGTGTATGTGTCATTCCAATAGCAAAGATGAAGTAAAACACGTGTATGTGTCATTCCAATATCATAGATGAAGTAAAACACGTGCATGTGTCATTCCAATATCATAGATGAAGTAAAACACGTGCATGTATCACTTTAGTGTCATAGATAAAATAGAACACACGTATATTTGCCTTTCCAATATTATAGATGAACACACGTGCTTGTGTCATTTTAACGCCATAGATGACGCTGAACACACGTGTATGTGCCATTCCTAACAATAGATGAAGTGGAACACACGTGCACGTATAATACCTATTTATAACATACAGTCATACATATGCCATCCCAGGTATATTGTAAAACATATCACTGCGCAGTGACAATACTAGACAGACAGTTTAACACACATACGTGAGACGTTTATATAGCAATATTTAGAAGGATACAGAATATATCAATACCAAGATATAACCAGAATGCAAACACATCGTAGTGCAGCTAATATGGGTAAACTCATATGTGTGTTGTTAAATATACCATTGAAACCGAACTGTGGGCAAATTCGTGCACCTGTCATTCTTGCATCTTATTACAATGTCTATAGTCTCAAACCAAGGCTATAGTGTGGACGGCTTTATCAGTAACTTCAGCAGGACATACGTAAGTCCAGAAACTTACAGCGTACTACACGCGCGCAGGCGTTAACCATATGCTCCAGTTATTAAACGAAAACAGACAGTATCCTCTCACACAAACCATACTGTTCAAATACATTTCTAATGGACCCCCATCCGCTCATGGGCTTCACCAACTGTTAAACATCTACGACCTACTCCACATTTGACTTTCCTATCACATTAAGCTGGAATGTCGTAATAGAACTGAAATACTGTTAAAAGCGTCGTTTAACCCAGTTCAACCACGCTAATCCGGACCACATGAAGGATAGTGTACAACGGATGTATGTGTTTGCCTCAGCACTGGATAACAGATACCTCTATTTAGGCTTCAAAGTGTTAAGGCAAGGTCTACGAGACCTGCTCAGGCCCTCCGGTACGCAAGGTCTTGCAAGTCATTCGTTCCAGTTAGAACAATCCGCGGAGATAAAACACATGCGATGAAGAGATAACATCCTTCCTTCAACGGAGCTCCCAGGTGGGATCTTGTCTGTGTTTATCGGAGTTGTTGCGAAGTGGTGAAGTAAGTCATCTGGTAGTCTAAATATTGATGGTCTGCTTACAATCAGTACCTACTGGTCGGGATCACTGGTCAGCAACACTGGCCACTGCCACATAGTTCCTGGGGGCTGATGTGTTGTAGGAGAAGGTTGCTCAACCACGATGTTCAACTCTTATTTAGTCTGCCGAACATAACGCTCACTTAACGCCGCTCCTGATATACTCGAAATGATTTGATTTATATTATCGGTCGTGAGCGTATTATGACAGACTGTAAACGTTAAGGTACTCATTACTGTGGCGCATGTTCAGAATTGATGACAAGATGTCTGTATAATCAGCGTCTTGTATACAACGGCGGCAACTGTATACAACTGTAGCAGTTGTATATCTGCTTTTAAGATGTCGATCATTCAGGATACCTGTATTTAAAAAGCGGATAATCCATTGTGTAATTTTGTCCCAACGTCACTCAACATGTCATTATTAATTTACTGGCTTGAACGGTCGTATGTGTATGTGGTATACACTGTTACAGCTTCAAGCGTGTATGTAGTAGAAACTGTTACAGCTTCAAGCGTGTATGTAGTAGAAACTGTTACAGGTACAAGCGTGTGTGTAGTATAAACTGTTACAGGTACAAACGTGTGTGTAGTATAAACTGTTACAGGTACAAACGTGTGTGTAGTATAAACTGTTACAGGTATAAGCGTGTGTGTAGTATTAATTGTTACAAGTACAAGCGTGTGAGAAGTATAAACTGTTACAGGTACAAGCGTGTGTGTAGTATAAACTGTTACAGGTACAAGCGTGTGTGTAGTATAAACTGTTACATATTGAAGTGTGTGTGTAGTATAAACTGTTACAAGTACAAACGTGTGTGTAGTATAAACTGTTACAGGTATAAGCGTGTGTGTAGTATAAACTGTTACATGTACAAACGTGTGTGTAGTATAAACTGTTACAGGTACAAGCGTTTGTGTAGTATAAACTGTTACAGGTACAAACGTGTGTGTAGTATAAACTGTTACAGGTACAAACGTGTGTGTAGTATAAACTGTTACAAGTACAAGCGTGTGTGTAGTATAAACTGTTACAGGTACAAGCGTGCATGTAGTATAAACTGTTACAGGTACAAACGTGTGTGTAGTATAAACTGTTACAGGTACAAACGTGTGTGTAGTATAAACTGTTACATATTGAAGTGTGTGTGTAGTATAAACTGTTACAAGTACAAGCGTGTGTGTAGTATAAACTGTTACAGGTACAAACGTGTGTGTAGTATAAACTGTTACAGGTACAAACGTGTGTGTAGTATAAACTGTTACAGGTACAAACGTGTGTGTAGTATAAACTGTTACAGGTATAAGCGTGTGTGTAGTATAAATTGTTACAGGTACAAGCGCGTGTATAGTATAAACTGTTTCAGGTACAAACGTGTGTGTAGTATAAACTGTTACAGGTACAAACGTGTGTGTAGTATAAACTGTTACATATTGAAGTGTGTGTGTAGTATAAACTGTTACAAGTACAAGCGTGTGTGTAGTATAAACTGTTACAGGTACAAACGTGTGTGTAGTATAAACTGTTACAGGTACAAACGTGTGTGTAGTATAAACTGTTACAGGTACAAACGTGTGTGTAGTATAAACTGTTACAGGTACAAACGTGTGTGTAGTATAAACTGTTACAGGTACAAACGTGTGTGTACTATAAACTGTTACATATTGAAGTGTGTGTGTAGTATAAACTGTTACAGGTACAAACGTGTGTGTAGTATAAACTGTTACAGGTACAAACGTGTGTGTACTATGAACTGTTACATATTGAAGTGTGGGTGTAGTATAAACTGTTACAAGTACAAGCGTGTGTGTAGTATAAACTGTTACAGGTATAAGCGTGTGTGTAGTATAAATTGTTACAGGTACAAGCGTGTGTGTAGTATAAACTGTTTCAGGATCAAGCGTGTGTGTAGTATAAACTGTTACAGGTACAAGCGTGCGTATAGTATAAGCTGTTACAGGTACAAGCGTATGTGTAGTATAAACTGTTACAGGTACAAGCGCGTGTATGGTATAAACTGTTACAGGTACAAGCGTGTATGTAGTATAAACTGTTACAGGTACAAGCGTGTGTATAGTATAAACTGTTACAGGTATAAGCGTGTGCGTAGTATAAACTGTTATAGCTACAGGCGTGTGTAGTATAAACCGTTACAGGTACAAACGTGTGTGTAGTATAAACTGTTACAGGTACAAACGTGTGTGTACTATGAACTGTTACATATTGAAGTGTGGGTGTAGTATAAACTGTTACAAGTACAAGCGTGTGTGTAGTATAAACTGTTACAGGTATAAGCGTGTGTGTAGTATAAATTGTTACAGGTACAAGCGTGTGTGTAGTATAAACTGTTTCAGGATCAAGCGTGTGTGTAGTATAAACTGTTACAGGTACAAGCGTGCGTATAGTATAAGCTGTTACAGGTACAAGCGTATGTGTAGTATAAACTGTTACAGGTACAAGCGCGTGTATGGTATAAACTGTTACAGGTACAAGCGTGTATGTAGTATAAACTGTTACAGGTACAAGCGTGTGTATAGTATAAACTGTTACAGGTACGAGCGCGTGTATAGTATAAACTGTTACAGGTATAAGCGTGTGTGTAGTATAAATTGTTACAGGTACAAGCGTGTGTGTAGTATAAACTGTTTCAGGATCAAGCGTGTGTGTAGTATAAACTGTTACAGGTACAAGCGTGCGTA